CAACATCATCTTGCCTTTTATACCACGGTTGTCAGTCAGTTGGTCCTACCGTGGGAATGGGTATGTTGCTGTGATGCAGAAGGTATGTCATGGGCACTTCAAATCCCAGCAGGGCACCCAAAGTGAACCGTTTCAGCAGAGCTTTGCACACTATGTGAACAGACCACGAAGGAATAGGCTCTCCACTTGAGAGGAATTAGCTACTGACAACTTATGAATAGTAGCAGAACATTGTCAAATACAGTGCCGGGAGATGAATCCTTCAGGTCCATGTGTATCCTGTGATCAAGAACCAGTGGTGTAAAAAGAAGTCCAAGCTGCACTGAAGGGTTAGCCACACACAGTGCTCTAGGGATTGACGGAACACCGATTGAAATGCTTCAACAAGCTTGTCTATGTAAAGACGTTTGGAAGACCTCTACCTGGCCAGCTGACTGGAAGAGATCCATATTTACACCCGTTCCAAAGAAAAGTGACCCAACAGAATGTGAAAAGTATAGAACAGTGTCATTTTATTGCATGCAAGTAAAACTTTGCTAAAGGTGATCCGGCAACAGTTGCAGCAGCAGTGGCGATTCAGGCTGGACTCGAAAGAGGACATGGACAAGGGGTGTTACTGCTGTCAGGTGGATCTTGGCTGAAAGGAGAGAACACCAGGAAGATATTTACTAAGTTTCGCTGACTATGCAAGGCATCGAGGATTATAACAAACAATGGATAGCCTTAGAAGAATGGGAATTCCAGAACACTTCCGTTTGCTCATGTGGAACCTGTACATGGATCTGTGCGCAGAACCAGGAAATACTTTATGGTTTCAAATCAAGAAAGATGTTATGTCCCCTCACCATACTTATTCAATCAATATGCTGAGCAAATCACCAGAGAAACTGAACTATGAAGAGGAATATGGAAGGAAAAGCAGACTGAAAGAAGACTTATCAACAGCCTTTGGTATGCAGGTGACACAACCTTGCTTGCTGTTGGTGAGAAGGACTTAAGCACCTACTGAGGAAGATCAAGGATTACAGCCTTCAACATGGATGACAACGCAATGCAAAGAAGACCAAAATCCTCACAACTGGACCCACAGATAACATCATGATAAACAGGGAAAAGATTGAAATTGTTAAGGATTTCATCTTGCTTGGCTCCACATCAATGCTCATGGATGCCGCATTTAAGAGCTCAAACAGCACACTTCACTGGACAAGCCTGCTTTACAAAGCCTCTTTAAAGTGCTGAAGATGCTTTTCAACAGGCCCATGGTGCGCCTAACCCAAATCATGGTATTTTCAGTCATCTCATGTCAATGTTGGACCTGGAACAGGGAAGACTGGAGAATAGTTGATGCGTTTGCATTATGGGGCTGGTGAAGCACATTGAAAGTACCATGGACTGCCAAAAGAGCAGACCACTCTTCCTTGGAAGGAGGGAAGCCAGCATGCTCCTAGAAGTGAGAATGGTGAGACTTCGTCTTACATACTGTATACACAGTATTGGGAGAGACCAGGAACTGGAAAAGGCTATCGTGCTTGATAAAGTAGAGGGGCAATGAAGGAGGACCCCGTCCCCCACCCCCGACCAGATGGACAGACGAGTTGCTGCAATGAAGGGCTTGAAACGAACAGCAGTTGTGAGGACAGCGGTGTGTGGTTCTTTGTACACGGGGTCACTGTGCGTCAAAGCTGACTTGATGGTACCTGGCAACGGTTACCTCTCATATATTACTAGATTTGGTTTTGTAACATTTTGTTTGAGTGTTTTGTTAATGTTCACGAGAGAAATTGGCTTGCAGTATTTCTTCCACGTTGTGCCTTCAGGTTTTAGTACCAAGGTTATGTGTGCTTGAACCCTACTGGGTCTTCTGCCCCATACGGAGTGGGGGACCAAATAACTGATTTTATATTCATAGAGCTTGAAGTCACGCTGAAACGAGTCCATCATAAAAGGACGGATGTTTTATGACAGCACTTAGATAAAATGATAAGCAGAGGCAAATGCATAGAGACCATAATGTATCATTGATGACCAGGAGCAGGAGGGAAGAGGAAAAAGGATACTATTGCTTATGGAATAGTCGAGGGGCATTGGACAATCGGAAGGCCCTCAGGAGATTGTGTTAGTCTGGGTAGACTAGAGAAACAAATCCATGGACACACACATGTGTATAAGAAAGAGGTTTATATACAAGAGCAATTGAACATTGAGAAAACATCCCAGCCCAGTTCAGATCAAGTCCATAAGTCCAATATTAGCCCATATGTCCGATACCAATCTATACAGTCCTCTTCAGATTCACGAAACACATGCAATGACGCCGAATGCAGAAGATCACAGGCCAGGGGGTAGAAAGTCTTTGGATCCAGTGGCGTTGGAAACATCTCAGGGCTGGCAGGGGTCTCCACATGACTTCTCCAGCACCCAGGGCTGCATCAGGGTGGATCCATGTGTCTTGTCAGCTGCTACATCTCCCAGGGTATGAGCAAAGAAAGAAAGTGTCTCCCGTCTCCAAGGAGGAAAATCAGGATTCCCCAGAATTCTCACGAGAAGGCCATGCCCACACAGAAGTCTCATTGGCTTTCTCCGGATTGACAGGCTAGAGTCCACCTACACTCTTAATCCTTAAATTGACACCAGAGTAGGGACTACCACAGAGACGAACTGGCTCCGTGGCTGAAAGTGTGGACTCGGCGTAGGCAGTGTTGCGTTCTGTCGTGCTTCAAGTCATTGTGGGCGGGAGAAGGAGGGACAGGAATGAAATGTGGCTAGCAGCCTCCAAGAACGACCACCGCCTTTGCATCAGACCAGAAGAGTCGGTTGGCTCTTGGCTACCATTACCAAGCAGTTCAATCGACGATTCTGCAGAAGAATCCGGAACTATTTATGTTCATGCTCATACTTAATTCATTAAAAGTGTTAGTGGGGCCATTTCGTGGATGCCAGGGCTTCCGGGGAGGCTTTAGGGGGCGAGCCGGAGGAGAAGGCCCATTCGCGCATGTAGTTTTAAGCCTCTGCTTCTAGAAGATCAGATTTCGTCCCTGATTGGGTTCGCAAAACCCACTGCTTCTGCACTGATTAGCGACCTAAAGAAGGGTATCCCGAGGCGTGCAGCCAGCACTTGATAGCCCGATCTTCTGCCCATCATCAGGGGAGGCTCCTCTAAGCTACCCAGCCCTTGTGCCACAGCGTCATTGGGGCCCCTCAACCCAGAGCCCAGATGAAATGCATCGTGATTCCTGTCCATTGGACTGTAAGGTTTATGTAGGTAGCCTTGGAAACGATGGCAACAAAACCGAATTGGAACGGGCTTCTGGGTGTTACGGCCAACTCCGAAGTGTGTGGGTTGCTAGAAACCCTCCCGGCTTTGCTTTTGTTGAATTTGAAGACCCTCGGGATGCAGCCGATGCTGTTCGAGAGCTGGATGGAAGAACACGGTGTGGCTGCCGAATAAGAGTAGAGCTGTCCAAGGGTGAAAAAAGAAGTCGGAATCGTGGCTCACCTCCCTCTTGGGGCCGTCGCCCTCGCAATGATTATCGGAGAAGAAGCCCTCCACCTCGCCGCAGATCTCCTAGGAGAAGCTTCTCTCGCAGCTGGAGCAGGTCCCTTTCTCGAGAGAGACCGGAGAAGAGAGAGATCACTGTCTCGGGAGAGAAATCACAAGCCGGGGCTCCCGCTCCTTCTCAAGGTCTCGTAGCCGGTCTAGGTCAACTGAAAGAACATGAGAAGATGGATTTGCAGACGGAGTGTCGTGTGTACAGGAAATGCATCATTTGACAGGAGTGTACTGACACGTTGTGTTTGCGTCTTCAGAAGGCTTGGTGCGTTTTAAAGATATTTAGCTGTTGGAATTTTGTCTCCACACAAAATTGAATTTGCTTTGAACCTCAGTTAGTCTTGAATAAGACTGATAATAAACCCAGCTAAAGTGTGATGTTTCAATGTTGAGGAAACAAGTGGCAACGAGGGCACGTCTTGTTTTGTCTGTGGCTGGGAAAAGGAGGCAGCTGTAGTGGAAGGAGCAGTCTCAGAGGGCTGAGCACATCGGAGCCACCGATAAAAGTAAGTAGCTGCACCATTAAAGTAGGTTGGAGGTTTTAAATAAATCCAACCTCGTCTTCAACCATGTGCAGAAGTTACTCTGTTCATTTTGAATTGGATAGTTTTAAGGAGTTATTATTTTTTTTTTACTTTTGCTTTAGGTCATAAAGTCTTTGCTATTGATGTATACAAATAAGTATTTTGTAACTCATATTTGGAAAATGTAGGCGATCCAAGATACCAAGATACCATTTAATAGGGTACATTGTAGAGCTGAATTTAGGGTTACTGTGCAAGATTTGTTTTCATGCTGTCATTTGTAATGTAATATGTTTTGTGGATATCGTTGGGATTAAAGTTTTGGTTTATAAATTGTTTAATTTGGTAGCCTGTTTTTCCTTGCAAAACTCAAATCTGTGAGCTTGGTACCAAATCCAAGTATAACATTCCTATTGGAAGCCATACTTATATATTTCCGTGTAAAGTGCTTTTGAAGTAATAAAATGTTAACATAATTGTGTAAGCTACAGTCAGTTGAATCCACCACCACAGTTCTTATCTGTGAAAGATGGTTACATTATTTTCTTTTTTGGTTACATTATTTTCTAAGAAACAATGGAAACATTGGATTAGTCTTTGAAGTGAATTTTAATTGTTACCAAGTAATTTAGTAGTTAACCATTTGTTAGTGAACCACCATTATTTCTAAGCTTTTAGTGACTTATAGTACATTGTAACCAAGTAAGTTAAACATTAAAAGTCTCAAGTAGCATGAAAAAAAATTTTTTTTAAATAAAAGTGTTATTGGATTTCTTTTTCATCCAGGTGTATGGCCACTACGCCTTTGTCCTGTCTATTAAGCAGCGAGATCTTTTCAATGAAATAATGCCTATGAAAGTACTAGAAACTGTTGCCGAATAATGATTACATTCTAAGATGCCATTTCCTTTTTCTCTTTTCAGAAGGGATCTTCAAGATGGCGAAAGAAGTCCAAGTGCAAACTGCCGCAAGAGAGCGGCTGAACACACCTCCCCCGAGACTGAACCAAGAAATAAACACAGTAGGGGGCGTTAAAGTGGGCTTTGCCTGACTTCCGGTGCAATGTTAGACATAGAGGGCTTTGGGTTGCTATCTAGAATTCACAGTTTTAAAGGTCTCAGGTTGTTAAATTCTAAGTGTTATGGTTGACTGATTTTCATGCCTCACTGCCTTTGCCAATTTTTTTTCTCAAAACAAAACATCTTCACGTGGTCAGTTACCGCCTACTTCCAAAGCTTCTCTTCCTGAAAAATGCTCATAGCTACCCGTTCACTGGCTTTGCAGATGAGGACCCTTGGATGACGGTTTTGTTCTGTGTTGTTTGTATTTAAATTTCAGAATGTGTTTGAGAATGTTCGTCTTTTCCATGGAGAAGCCAGCTTCGGAAAAGGGTTGTTTTCAGCCTCTCTCCCGCATGGCGCTGCTGTGGGAGGAAGCATTTCTCTGCGTTGCAGAAAGGCTGGATGTCTTCCAAAAAAAAAGGCTGGATGTCATAGTTCAAACCCATAGTTGTCTGTAAGCACCCAGTTACACGATTGTTGCTGTCCAAGTGTAAGTTTAATGTAGTCCGGGTTAGATGTGTCCATTCCACAGAGTAGGCTGTCAACATTTGGATGTTTAAGTCGCAAAGAAGAACTTTGAATCATTGGTCATATTCTTCTGAAATGCTACTTAGAAATGATTGCTGTTCGGTTTGTTTCACTGGATAAATAGACTAACACTTTGAATGATGGGTATTTAACATCAAGTGTACAATAAATGGAATCTTTAAAGTGAATAGACTATCTTTTCAAAAGAGCGTCGTCAAAGCAGTGTCTTCCAAATAGGTGAATCGCTGCTGTGTGTCGCTGGAGGGGTTGCTCAGAAACCGTCGTCGGTGTCACAGTATCCTACCACCCGTCCCCATTTCCCTCCAGAGCCGTCACGGCTCTCGCATGCCCTCCCTGCCCGCAACACAAACATGTCAGCCGGACAGTAGCAGTAACAGCAAATGCCGGCAGTTTTAAGAGAGCAAAATTATTCACGTGCCCGGTGCTCTTGTGACTTCCCCTTTCAAAGACCGTCTCCATTGACCTTGGCTTTTCTTCGCACGGTGGGATTTGTAGCTAATGAGGAGTCTCAATCAAGCTGAGGGCTCAGCGTTTTCACACTGAACTAGTCATGAGTTTCCTGAGCAGTAAAGAGTTACCTAAGAACGTGTCACCGTCCTCTCATCTACCAACAGTCCCGAGTGATGCATTCAGGAACCTGAACGCCGCAGCTGCACCGTCTGAGCCCCTCGGCGGCCCTGATGAGAGGGAAGTAGGCAATATCCAACCATGCTGATGTGATATTTGCCTCACCGAGTTAGCAGAAATGAACCCACGTGCCTCATTAACATTTACAGTCCGCCACCAATTAAACTGGAAGCAATCACTGCTTTAGTCTTTGCAAAGGTAATTTGTGAAGGAACATTTGACTGGGTGGAGATACTTTTTGCTGCCACACTCAACTGGGGTTGGGCAGAAAGGCTGCCTGCATCAATGGGTAGAGTCAGGGATGCTGCTACCTACTACTACAAACCCTGGGCAGCCCCATTGACAAAAATCCACCCCACCCAAAATGTCAAGCAGAAAAGAATAAAAACCAGAACAAATTTAAAATGGGTCAAAATGGTGAACAAATGCTAAAGGTGTTACATTTTAGCCTGTTGGTGGCATCGTGGGTTAAATGTTGGACTCCCTACTGCAAGGTCAGCAGTTCAAAACCACCACCAGCTGTTCCGTGGGAGAAAGATGGGCCTTTCACTCTTGTAGAGATTTACAGTCTCAGAAACACAGGGACAGTTCTACCCTGTCTTAAGTCAAGATCCACTTAAAGGCAGTGAATTTGGAACATATGCCTTAATCCACTTTCCAAAGCTAGTCACATCCCTAATTGATGGTCAGGGTTCTCCAGGGACTCCATCTACACGGGGATGCTGAAAATGGGTTTTGGATTTGTGGGAAACAGAAAGATTTCTCCCAAGTTGTCTCCCCCAAATACATGCCAAACTTAGCTGCTTGCTACACGTGACGAATGACTATACACTTGGAGGTCAACAGAAGTAGGTCAGGGGTTATTCTCCCTAAGGGTTATCAGCCATCCAGAGCAAGCAGACTATATAGTCTGTCCTGCCCTAAGTAGGGCCCACTCCCTTCTGAAGGCCCACTTCCTGAAGGCCCACTCCCGTCTGATTATTTCCCTGAAGGAGTACCCAGAGAGGTCAAGCCCATTCAAGGGTGACTAAGGTTAGACTGCCATATTGAATCAGGTCCACCCCTCTTGTCACATGTATACCTTTAGTCCCTCCCCTTCCTATCATGTGCACACCCCTAGCTCATCCCCTTCCTGTCACACTTATGCCTATTGTACTGCCCCTTCCTGTGACATGTGGTTACCTGTAATCACACCCCCCTAAGTAGATATAAGCCTTGGTTAGCAATAAACGAGGTCTTCGCCCCAGCTCACCTCGGCCCGTGCTATGCGCTGACCTGGCAGGTAAGATCATGGCCATCCAAGAGGTGAGCATGCTACCATGAAATGTGTCTGACTTCATTTGACTCTTCTATCTCTCATGCTTTCTATGACTTTACTATAAACTTTATATATCTTAACCATACAATTGCACCTATCAAACCCGTGATTAGTTGTGGGGGGGCTGGCCCTTCCCCCCCACAGGCTTTCCCTGTCATCCAAAGCCTGCAGACTGGGTGCTCAGAATTTACGCTCTAATACGGTTCCGTCCTCCAGTCTTGGATTTGATTATTTACAATCCGTACATCACACAGACGGATGTGCTACTGTGTGACTTAGCTAATACCTCACTTAGATGGCTGCGTGTTTTAAGCGAAGCCTTTAAGACAACAGACTTTATTTCTTCTGATCACCTGATTTCTTCACCACATTTTGTTATAACACCCATAGTTTCAATGAACTGAATGAGTTATTTTTATCCCCATATGAGGTGAGCGCTCGATCCAGGATCGAGAGCCACGGATAGGCTTCTCATTCTCTAATTCAACTCTTAGTGAAATTGTCATCGTCAACACCTTACAGTCCATCACTGGTTATTAATTCTCTTTTCCTGCCAACTTTGCCTAAGGCTATGCCAGCCCTCAGCGGCGACACCCCTTGCCATGGCAGTGCTTCTGTGGTTAGGGAGGTCCCAGGTCGGTCGCTTAGAAAAGGACATCCAGATGATTTGACAATCTTCTCTGTTTGCCTACTCCTTGTTGGGAATCACGGGTGACTGCTGAAGAAATAATCCCTGCACATACGTATTACAAGACCCACTCTAAAGAACTGTCCCTCTCCCTACCATCAAGCTGATTCCGACTCACAGTGACTACGGCACAGAGTGGAACTGCTATAAATCCACAGAAGCAGAAAAGCCTCATCTTTCTCCCTCGGAGTCCGTGATGGGTTTGAACTGCTGGCTCTGTGGTGAGCAGCCCAACACCTGACCCACTACAACACGCAATCTGGATTCTGAATGGGTAGAGTCACCTCTCACTACAGATAGACAAAGTAGTAAGAAACGGCTTTGTGGAGGGCTTTTTCCTGGAAGCAGACCCCTAGACCTTTCACTACAGACCGTCACGCAGTTACTGTGCTTGGACACTAAGTTTGGCTCTGAGATCTGCTGAACTAGAGGAAAAGCCAGAGCAATGGGCTACAACATTCTCAGCATCTGATAGAACAGCAGTTTTCAAAGGAGTCACACGCTTCCCCCTATGGAACGTTCACTATCACCTTCCCCCCTATGGAATGTTCATTATCACCTTCCCCCCTATGGAACGTTCATTATCACCGTCGTTCGTTATGAACCCTGAAGGAAAGCTCATCACAACCATTCAGTGCACTAACAGTTTACGCTCTCCCTTGCTTTTCGCCTTTGTATTGCAAGCATCCCCAGGAACGGCCATCCAGAGATCCCGTTAATCATTCACCCTCCATGTTCCCGGCTCTCTGCCTCGCCACAGTTCTGCCTTATGGAGATCTCTCCAATCCTCTCCCCTCATGATTCGGCACACAGGAACGGGGAAACCCAGAATGCACTTCCACCTTCCTAAACACTTACTGGTAGTGTAGGCATAGGGCCGCACTCACTCCCGTTCTGAAGGAAAAACACAGGCTGGAAAGCAAGTTCAAACCCCAGCAGGGATATAGCATCTGGGGTCTAAAAGGCTTGAAGGTAAACAAGCGGCCATCTAGCTCAGAAGCAACAAAGCCCACATGGAAGAAGCACACCAGCCTGTGTGATCATGAGATGTCGATGGGATCAGGTATCGGGCATCATCAGAACAACAAATCATATCATTGTGAATGAGGAGGGGAGGGGAGTGGAGACCCAAAGCCCATTTGTAGGCCACTGGACATCCCCTTACAGAAGGGTCTCGGGGAAGAGACGAGCCAGTGAGGTGTGATGTCGCAACGATGAAACATACAACTTTCCTCTGTTTCCTAAATGCTTCCTCCCCGCCCCTACTATCATGATCCCAGTTCTACCTTACAAGTCTGGCTAGACCAGAGGATGTACACTGGTACAGATAGGAACTGGAAACACAGGGAATCCAGGGCGGATGATCCCTTCAGGACCAGTGGTGTGAGTGGTGATACTGGGAGGATAGAAGGTAGTTGGGTTGGAAAGGGAACTGATTACAAGGATTTACATGTGACCTCCTCCCTGGGGGACGGCAACAGAAGGTGCAAGATATTACAAAATAATAATTTATAAATTATCAAGGGTTCATGAGGGAGGGGAAAAATGAGCTGATCCCAGGGGCTTAGGTGGAGAACAAATGTTTTGAGAATGATGAGGGCAATGAATGTACAAATGTGCGTTACACAATTGATGTATGTATGGATTGTGATTAGTTGTATGAGCCCCTAATAAAATGATTTAAAAAACAACAACAAAAAAAACCCAGCAGGGAAAATCCCATTAGACTTCAGGGCTGGAAAACAGTGTTCTGGGCCCTCCGGGATAGCAGCCCCACCCACTTGGCTTGCCAGTGCCTCAGCCCTGTCCTTCAGGACCCCTGGGGCAGTGGCCTCATGTCCTCCCTGGGCAGTGGCCCTGTGCTTGGATCTGCATCAGCATCCCTCCTAGCCTGTGAATGGCTTTGAGGATCACCCTGTCCTTCCTTTGAAGGACAGCAGATGGTTGTAGCCGGGCTCCAGTAACCTGCTTCCTGCTTCTAGAAGCCAGCTGTCTGACAGCCTTACTGCATTTGGTCCTCTCTGTCCCCGTCATTCTAAGCCAGGAGCCTCTGTGCAGAGATGGCTGTGGGATCCTTCTGTCACATGCCTGATCTCTTTAGCAGATGGCTGTCTGGCCACACCACTGGGGTCCTCTCCAGAGCAATGCACTGCAGTATGGATAGACCAACATGGTCCACATCTTCCAAGTTCTACTTTCCACACAGTACCCACAAACATATTTGCCCTTTCGTTGAAGGCCTGACCTAAGGCACATTTAACTTCCACACTTGCAGAAACAGTGTGTTCACAACGACTGCCGCTTTCTCGACAGTTCTGGCCTTCTTTTGGAGCCCTCGTCAGAATTCCCTTGAATGTCCATAACTCTACCAATAATCTCTTACCTTGAAGATGATGTAGACGTCTATTGTGCAGTCCTCAAAACTCTTCTTCCGCATATGTAGGTATTTGTCACAGCCCCACCTTATTCTTGGTACTAAGACTGGTATTCGTTTCCCAGGGCCGCTGTGACAAAGTCCCACCCACGTACCTTCT